GGGTCTGAAGGCCCAGGGACTCTGAGCTTGAGGTCACTCTGCCAACCCTCTGTGGCTCTACGACTTCTTTAATCTTTCCGTCTCTCCTAGTCCCCCAAATAAACTAAAGCCTTTACTAGAAGGTCAAGTAAACTTCGCTGTAAATCATAGAGGTTCCAAAAAAGGGAAGTTAAAAGGGGAATCCTGATTGCTCTCACATAGTCTTGAAAGTTCACCTTTTAAATTATTTTTAAAACCCCTTATACTTAATAGAAGGCTAATGATAGACCATTTCACACTGTATTGATATTTAACTTTCTAAATAGGAAAACAGAAAATGCATTCCTAGTTTAAACAATGGCTTCTTTACAGAAAACTGCAGAGGAAAGTGATGAGCCGCTTGGAGCTGAACTTCCCAGCAGCTTTGCTGCATATTCATGATGTTTAATTTCCAGATCTCTCTCGCATGGAATTCCATGGAGACATCAGAATTCATCATGGAAGAGGTAAATCAGTCAAACATATCTACAGACATTATCAGAGAATACGATCCGTACCCTGTGCTTTCCCCAGGGAGCTACTTTTGAAGATGCAGCGATAGAATCTGCACTATCCAATAACTTACACTGAGCCAGAGGATTCGGATAGTCGCTACCTATATAAACAGTTTTTTATTTTTATTTTTATTTTTTTTTTGAGACAGAGTCTCGCTTTGTTGCCCAGGCTAGAGTGAGTGCCATGGCGACAGCCTCGCTCACAGCAGCCTCCAACTCCTGGCTCAAGCGATCCTCCTGCCTCAGCCTCCCGAGTAGCTGGGACTACAGGCATGCGCCACCATGCCCGGCTAATTTTTTGTATATATATATATATATTAGTTGGCCAATTAATTTCTTTCTATTTATAGTAGAGGCGGGGTCTCGCTCTTGCTCAGGCTGGTCTCGAACTCCTGACCTGGAGCAATCCGCCCGCCTCGGCCTCCCAGAGTGCTAGGATCACAGGCGTGAGCCACCGCGCCCGGCCAAGACTTACTTCTAATCATGTTTCTTACTGGGGAAGCCTCAGAGGGTTGGGGAGAAGATTGATCTTATCGTAACAGGACTTCCTTTTTAATTTGATTGATGCAGAAAATCTGTATCACATCGAAGGCTTAAAACAGCCTTCATAATATACACCAAACATCTCCTTGGCCCAGGCGGTGCCTATGAGCTGTGGCACTTTGTGGGCCTTAGGGGTGTCTATAAATATTTCTCCTCCTTCCCCAGGCTCTGTGTCCATATCAGAACTCTTTGTACCATGGAGAAGCAACACAAATAAATCACGCAATAAAATGACCTTTCCCAAATCACGTTTTGGCGAGGGGATGCTTTTTACAGCGGGTCCCTTTGCTCTAAGCGCAGATGGCAAAGCCAGTGGAACTTTTACAAGTCCTACTAGAAGTCTGACATCCAGTTGAGTTCAATCCCAGGGAGTCTGAACTCGGCATGCTTCCCTTTTTCACATTTTTTTGGCAGGTTGAAAATAGATACTGCCAACGAACCAGGGTGTGCACAAATGACACCCTCATCTTCAGCCTTAAGAGTCTGTTGCAGAAGAGAAGAGAGTTGTTCTAGAAGAAAGATCTTGTGGAGGGACTGGAAGGGGGTGGGGGGGATTATGTATTTATTTATTTACTGTATTTGTTCACTGGCTAGGTTAAGACAGCTGTCGCGTTGTCCTGGGAACAACTGCTGAGCACGGTGACGTGAAAGCTATGAATGCAAAACCTGCTGCAAAAAGGGACATGTGAGTTTGTCTTTTCTGCCGTGCTTTTGCTCAGAAATGAGACGGTCCTCAGCATGCCAGGATATAAGACACAGCCACCTCTGGGGGTGGGGTGGGGGTAAGGGGGGTTCACTTTCTGCAGGTGGCCGTGGTGTGTTTTTGTGGAATAGCCAACAGACCACACTGTTTGTCAACACAGCCTAATCCACATGTCAAACAACATTTCCACTCTGTCTCCAGGACAGGGCCTGTGTCCGTGTGGATTACCGGAAAGGCCCAAACTCACAGAAACAAGTAAATACCCAGAGGAGGGATTGGGCAGGCTGTGAAGGGGGAGAGGAAAACCCAGGCAGTGCCCATCCGTTTTTGTCTTCCTGGTTTTGCTGTCAGTTCTCTGATTCGGGTTAGCTGAGCCGTGTGTGTGGGGGGCGTTGGGGGCAGAACAGGAAGTACAAGAGGAAGTGGGGTGGGCCAAGATGGCGGCCCGGGAAGAGCGGGCCATGGCACGGTCAAGGAGAGGATGGGACGTGGCGGGTAGATGTTCGCCTAGAGACGGGTTGTCTTAGAGAGAGGGTGTTGAATCCACAGAGGGGCAACTGGACACACTCAGGGTGTGTCACACTCGGCGGGGAGCCGGGGGAATTGCTTGGCAGGATCAGAGGGCACCTTGGGAGGCGCCCACATGTGAAGAAGGGTCAGAGGAGAGACCCTTCCTCTTGTGTAGACCCCCACTCAGGGCTCTACACTCCTCCCAGGGACACTGCAACCCCAGCACCATGGAGTACTACTCAACCCTAAAAAGGAATAAGACATAATGCCTTTTGCAGCAACGTGGATGGAACTAGAGAACATTACCCTAAGTGGAGTATCTCAGGACTGGAAAACCAAACACCCCGTGTTCTAATAAGCAGGAGATAAACCAAGGGGCACACGCGGTCACATATGCTGGTGTAAAGGACCCTGGAAACTAAGAAGGGGTGAGGGACAGAAACTCACCTATCAGGGATGATGTACCCATCGCTCTGGTGATGGGCACACTAAAAGCCCTGACTTTATCATCATACAGTTCATCCATGTAACAGAAACACTTGAACCCTCAAATTAAAAAAAAAAATGTATAATTCACAATAGGCAAAAAAATTAAAACAAACAAAAAGAAGTTGAAGCTATGCATTCATTCTCTCTCTCTCTCTCTCTCAGCAGTTCTAGAATGTTCCTGGATCTTTTGCTCTCCTAGTCACTGGGAATTCGTTTGGAAGGAGGTGAGGGATAAAATAATGATTCCAGAAACAAGTAACACTCACTTCCCTTTCTCTTTTCTAGAAGGGACCAATCTAGGGATCGTGGATTGGAAACCACGAGTACCACCCTCCTCCTTCCCTTCCTCCCTCTCTCCTCCTCCTACAATTCTTTTAACTTCTTCTCTTCCTCCCCCCATTCTTCTTCTCCTCAAAATTCTTCTAATGCTCTCAATTCTTCTAGCTCTTCTCTGTCTCCCTCCAAGTCTGCTGGTCCTTCTCGTTCTCCTCCTTCTTCCTTCTCTCCCTGTCCTCAAACCTCCATATCCAGCTTCCTCATTTTCTAGTTTATAAATTGGATCTGCTTTATTGTTTCCTCAGAACCTCAAGGTAGACCTCGGAAAAGCAAGCTAAAGTAGAAGAGCCAATGCACCACCAGTTTTCTACCCCTGCCTCTGCGCCTTTCTCTTCGATCACTAAAGGTAGAAGTTTCTGTTGGTGGGCCATGGGGCTGTGTGCGGAATTTCCACTGGGAATTGTTACAAACTCTACAGGAAAAAAAAATGATACGATAAGCAGAGTCTTCATAAAACTGCAAGTGGGTTGACCATGTCTATTCATGAATAACCTCTCTTTCCAACCAGAAAAACAACTTTCTGGTTTTTAGGCTAATTTATTAGCCTAAATAGACATCTATTCTTCTGTTTTCACTTTCAAATTCAGTTACCCCTTGGGTTTAGAAGATGGCAAAAATAAAATCAGTGACAACTATTTAATCGATATCATAATAGTAGATAAAAATGTGATTTTTAATAAAAAAAATAAAATTGCTTCTCATTAAAAGAGATTGATCCACTGGCTAACCTCTAGTTTAACTGTGTAGCATTGCCAATAGTCAATCATTTTTGACCTATAAAAATGAGAATGTGGGCCGGGTACGGTGGCTCATGCCTGTAATCCTAGCACTCTGGGAGGCCGAGGCGGGCGGATTGCTCGAGGTCAGGAGTTCGAAACCAGCCTGAGCAAGAGCGAGACCCCATCTCTACTATAAATAGAAAGAAATCCATTGGCCAACTAATACATATAGAAAAAATTAGCCGGGCATGGCGGCACATGCCTGTGGTCCCAGCTACTTGGGAGGCTGAGGCAGGAGGATCGCTTGAGCCCAGGAGTTTGAGGTTGCTGTGAGCGAGGCTGATGCCATGGCACTGACGCCATGGCACTCACTCTAGCCTGGGCAACAGAGCAAGACTCTGTCTCAAAAAACAAAAATAAATAAAAATAAAAATGAGAATGTCTTGTGGTTCAATGTACTAGGCTGACTTTAGGTAAAATTGTGATTTGGGCTAAACATGTCTCCAAGTCCTGGAGTGCCTAGAAGGACTCGATGCCTGGCTCCTGGATGGAACCAAGAAGAGTCCTCAGAGCTGGCATCATTTCTCCTTAAATATTGTGACGGAATGCAGCCCGCATGAAGGTGACAATTATAGGCTAACAGCTTCACTTTCACCGGTCTACTGAGTATCTGAATTGCAATAGGAGCGTAACAGCCTTAATTGAAAGATATATACTTCTAACAGCTGCTGTACGTGAAGACGTGATTATGAGGATGGAGATGGCATCTCGTGGGATTATATATTGTTGAAGCCGGAGTCAACCTTAAGTATTATTATAAACAAACCCTTCATTTCAAAACTGGGCAAACTCCAGTCTAGATACACCATGAACATTAGGACCAGACTCATATATGGGGCTGACGATGCAGATTTTCTTGCCACTACACAGTTCTGTATTCCTCACACCCTCTATTTTCTAGTCCTTCCCTCTTTCTCACTTCAACTCACAAACTCCACCGAATGAAGGCATGGGAGGAAGGAGGGCAAGGGGGGGAAATGGAGACTTTTTTTTCCCCCTAACTTTGCAATGAACACTTTTCGGTTCAAGGCGGTAAACCAAACACAACCTACAACCTCCTTCGCCAAGCCCAAAGCTTCCAGAAACGTAAAATAGATTTGTACATACCTGTGCTACAAAGCCGGAAAGGAACTCTCTGCGGGCCATAAACCATGAGGAACCCCTGGAAGGTGGAAATTGGGTAAAAATCAGACTGAGGAGTAAAACAGCAGCCCAATTTGTAGGTGGAAGAGTCCATTTACAATCCACCAAATTTCATCTCCTCTTCACCCATAGCTGTCTCAGTCCTGCCTTCCTTGCCTTAAAAATCCTCTTTACGAGGCCGGGCGTGGTGGCTCACGCCTGTCATCCCAGCACTCTGGGAGGCCAAGGCAGGAGGATCGCTCGAGGTCAGGAGTTCGAAACCACCCTGAGCAAGAGTGAGACCCCCGTCTCTACTATAAACAGAAAGAAATTAATTGGCCATCTGATATATATAGAAAAAATTAGCCGGGCGTGGTGGTGCATGCCTGTAGTCCCAGCTACTCAGGAGGCTGAGGCAGGAGGATCGCTTGAGCCCAGGAGTTCTGGACTTAGACTGGATCATGCGTTGCCACTTTTTGTCATTAACCATCTCCATCCGCTGCCTGACAGGGGTCTTAATTTTATGATATATAATATATACATTATAAAGTGAAGTAACTTATTACCAAAATATAAGGTCACACCGGGTTTTACATTGCTGGTGTAAAGACTGTGGAAACTAAGAAGGGGTTGAAGGGCATGAAACGTCACCTAGTCAAAAGGATTGATGTTGACCTCCATTAATTCTTTCTATTTATAGTAGAGACGGGGTCTCGCTCTTGCTCAGCAGCTGGCGCTTTCTTGGGAAACTTCCTGACCTGTGGCCAGGCACAAACAGCCCTGACTGTCCGTTATCACGCATCTCGCGAGCTTCCATCCATGTAATCAGAGCGCAACACGATGTCAATCACTCGAAATTAAAAAAGAAGAGATCCGTATAATTCACGAAGCCGAGCACAAACAGCGCCCACCAAAGCAAAAAGAGCTCTGATTCATGCACATTTCTTCTATAACTGTTATAGTATCTCGGCACTCTCATTCATCTCCATTCCTGTGATTCACAGGCAATCTAGAATGTTCTGGGGCCATGCGCTACACATACGCACTCGCGCGTATGTTCGATCTCGGATTGAACGAACGTTTAATTAATTTTGGGAAGCAAGGAATGAAGGGATACTACCATCCAAAATGTAATGAACCACAGAAACAGAGGTGTATATATCACCACATCATCCCTTACCGTTTCTCTTTTCTAGAAGGGACCAACTCTAGGGATCCGTGGATGGAAACCGGTTACGAGTACGCACCCCTCCTGTCCACTTGGCTGTACGAAATCCTCTACAAGTCATATCACTTCCGTCAGTATCACATTTGTTGTTAGATCTTAGCTTCTCTTCTCCCCCACAATCAGTTCCTTCTATCTCCTTCAAAATCCACACAGACATATCGCAGTCGCTCGGGTCCATCTTCTAGCTCTTCTCTTCCTCCCTCCAAGGTCTGCTGGAGCCTCTCTACCTCTCTCAGATCTCGCCTTGCCGAGGCTCCCTAGCATCCCCGTTCTCTCCATTCCATATCCAGCTTTCTCCTCTAGTTCTCCCTTACTAGTTTTAAAGAAGCTGCTGCGTATCTGCTCCCCAGATGGGCATGTCACACACGTGTAACCTACCATCCGAGAAACGCGATCACGTCAAGTCTTAGGCACCCAGGGGCCTTCCTGGCCATTCGAGCCAGAAAAGCAAGCTTAAGTGAAGAGCCTGCAAAACACCTCTCTTTGGAAAACTTAAATGACTGGCCCAGGAGGTAAAAGCTTGTTCATACACCCGGTGCACTGGGCGAAGTGCGCCTTTCTTTTCGTAGAATACACCTTAAAGGTAAAGTTTCCTGTTGGTGGGCACTCTGCCGAATCAACAGTATGGTAAGCGAAGAACTATTCCCATGCCTTCTAGGCCCAAGGCCGAGGTCTCGTACACACTTAACACACAAAGTTGGAAGTTGGACTTGGCACAGAGACACTACATATTAGACATAACATAAGCTGCAGAGATCCCGTCTCAAAAACTGTAGACGACCATATTGGTTATGACCAAGTTGCTGTTACTCCTCTAGAGCAATATTACCGTCTCTTAGTCACAACACAGAATGGAGACTCCCTCCACCTCAGCATCGCTGGTGATTTAGTCTTAACTATCAGTCAGGGGAGCGGAGTGATAAAGAAGACCATCGAAAGACCTCTCTACATGCGCATGCCCTAACACCCAGTCCATTTCCAACACACATTTTCAACCATCCTAAGGTGCTTCGAGCACCCACGATTTATGGGGTTTGCTTGTATCTATACATTGATGGCAGAACTCAATAAACACCAATTTAAACAAATCCAAGATAGAATAATTAGTCAAGGTACATCAGACAGTACATCTAGCCTCCAGCCAGCATGGGCCACTAATATAACATGATAAAATCAAATGTAAGACCAGAACACTTGTTCAACTACTCAGAAATTACTACCAAAGAAAGCCCTTGCTTCCCATCCCACACAAACCTGACAGTGCTATACACACCTTATTCTAAAATAGAGGTATCTAAAACCATGATCCACGGTTAACCTCTAGTTTAGTTTCTTGGTAGGCATCCCATCAACCTGACAACATGAGCACGACAATAAGCAAAATATATCTTATTATTTTCGTAAACACCTAATAAAATAATCAAGAAGTCTGGGCCGGTAGTATTACTGCTGGCACCGTTCAATTTAGATAGCTAATTTATTCCGTAGCAATAATGGGAGATGCGAAGACGGACAGATTGTACGAACATTGGACCTTGCGTAATGGTGCTGAGAGAGTATTATCCCTGACACCACGTAGGCGAAGACGAAACAGTTGTAGTTAATTCCCTATCTTCTTTATACTACATAGATATTAAGAATATCCATTGCACCAACTGCAAGTTGACATGCTTATTGCATAGAAAAATTAAACGGGCATGGGCGGCAGTGCTGGGTGGACAAACTACATTGGCACTGAGGGCAGAAGAATCATCCGACATCTTTGCAGCCGTTGAAGAGAGAGAGGCATTTGGGAGAGTGTTTTGCCTGTCCGAGCAGGCTGTCGAGACGCGACTTTTGAGCACGAACCGCCTTAAATGGATACACAACACACTATGCAGCGCGGAACAAACTAGAAATGCAAGTCTGTCTTCCCAACTTGCCTGTCTTTTGTATACCATACATAAACATAAGCTTAATCATTGAGGCCTGAGAGGTATTAAAAATGAGAAATGTCTTGTGATTCCAAATGACTTAGCTGTTACCCTTATTATAAGGGTGAGTATTGCTAAGAAGTTGCCTGAAATGAGGCCTATATGTATGGTGCATAACATTGTCTTTCATTAGTTTATCATGATTCTCTTATAATAATGACTGATTTTAGAAACCAAAATGGCTCCTGGATTATGGCGCAACCAGAGAAGAGTTTCCTCCAAGGTACAGGAGCCTGATGTGGCACCTATCAAAACTTTGCATCTGCCCCTACCATGTGGGTGACGAAATGCAGCCCGCATGAAAGGTGGACAATTATAGAGAGGCTCTCACAGGCGGTCTCTATCATACCGTCGTCTACGGACCAAACGTGAGACTTGCACTAAATGGAGTATGCGTTAACAGCCATTTAGAAACTCTTATTTGAAAAGATTATCAGTACTTCTTACAACTTGCTCCTGTCAGCCTAATTGTGAACGTGAAAGGGTATATAACTTGATTATTTGTGTATTGAGTAGATGTGAAAATGGCAAACATTGTGTGGAACAACATGCACCTAGATCCACCATGAAAGCTGACTTGGCGGCCCCTTTCCCCTTCTATATGGCCGGAAGTCAACCTTTGTAGAATTTATTATATAACAGAAACCCTTATCAACTCTCCAATGGGCAGGACTACCGCAGTCCTCATGATATCACAAGGTCTTGTTTCCATAGTATTTCTAATTTGATTGTTATAGACCAGACATTTACTCATATTGATTCTTGGTGTGCGTGTAACATGTTGCCAGGACATTTTGGTTTTCTTGCTCTATTATCCTACATTCGAGTGTATCTGTATCCTCCTACAACCACGCGGTTCTAAATACCTCTCTAGTTGGATTACCCGAAGTCGGATATAGTTCATCGTCTACCACTGCTCTCATTTCCGCAGTTGCTGGAACGGAAAAATATTACCATTCAACCTCGAACAGTGACTTCCCGAACGTTGATACTTGAAAAGGGGTTACGATCAACATGGAGCACCAGGGGGGTGGGAATGACATGACTTAAATATTACTTTCTCCTTTCTTTTTGCGTCCTTAACTTGCCATAGGAACACTTATATTATTTTCGGTCTCTAAAGGTACCATGGACACAATACTACAAACACTCCTTTATACTCGCGCCAATCCAAAGCGATCCCAGTAAACGTAATATTATGGCTTTAATAATGTTATCACTTTTTCATGTAACATTATCTACTGTCATGACATAAGCGAATTGAACAAACTGAGAGGTACTCCGTTGCCGAAGCCAATGACCAAAGAGGAAAGCATAGCACCCTTTGGAAGGAGTAGTTGGAAATCCGTCCCCATGATTAAAATAAAATCAGCACTCGAGGTAGTCCATATATAGCATAGCTGCGCATAATATTATGATAGGTGCGCAAGCATAGTTTAATTTTTAACATTAGAATCTTTAATGCCTCAGGCTATTCTGCATTTATCAATTTTCACACCAAAAGAAAGAATTTGATATCTCTGCTTTACACTCGTGAAAAATTATTTATTTTGTAAAGAATCTTCATAGGCGATTTGTCTTCGAGTGTCGCATTGAAATGAGTGCCGTGCAATGTGTTCCTTTTCTTCCCTTTATTCTCTAAGAAATTAAAAGATTATAAGTAATCCGATCGTGGGTTTATACGAAGTGTTTTTTCCACAGCCATCTGGCGTGAAGGGGCGTGGTTTCTGATAGCCGACGCCCTGTCAAGTCCCAGCAACTTTCCTGGAGTGGAGGTTGCACAAGCTCTCTTAATAAGCGTAGATCGTCAGTACAGAGTACCCATAGGAGTTCGAACCC